GGGGGGTTTGGCAGGGAGGGGGCGCATAGAGGAACCTGGCCATGGGGCAGCAGAGAGATAAAATCCGACTCTGGGTGGCCCCCTGGCTCTACAGACTCAAAAACAACTCCAGTATGTATTCCTATTACAATGCTGATGTCATAACAGTAGAGGATATGCTGGGACTTTACAGCAGCTGACTCCTGATTTCAATCACCCTGCATTTAACCTACAGGAGGCCATTACTTTTCTCAGACCGGCCCTGAAGAAGGACTGTTATAGCCCCCACGTGTTGGACTTCTATCACACTATAAATACTCCTGAACCTGTTGTGTGATGCCTTCGCCGTTTCACCCTAATTAAACCTGACCCCACTCTATCCGAGCCGTGCATACAAGTCTTGGTTGAACCTTTATATATATATATATCTCAGCAGATATACAGTATATGTAATATTAGGCCGTGTGCCGTTCTTGTCCATAAGAAGTAAACAAAATCATCGCTTTAGGCGACTGAATATTTTATGACCGAGATTGACAGCAGAGACTCGTCTGCGGCTCCTAACAAGGCGATTTATTTTCTTTACCGGATAAAAATACTTTCATGTAGATTTAGGAGAATATGGACTGCCGGTCCTCAGCATTCACATTCCCCCCCAGGAGGGAAGGGGGGCGGGGTTGCCAACACCAAAGCATCTCTGTTGAGCTCAAACTGTGCTAATTATGTTCCGCACGTTAGAAAAAAGTATCTTCATAACATCTCCTAATTCTGTCTCTGAAGTGTAACATTTCATACGCAGGAACGCCACTTATTTCTTATTTCTCTTTTTTTATGTATTTATTTATATATTTGTTTTATACCATGAAGTATTTCTTGCATCTGATATGCACTATATTTCTAAAAGTATTGGGACACCCCTCCAAATCAGCTTGTTAGCCCCCTATGTGATAGCAATTAAGTTAAGTTAAAGGAGAACTATGAGGTGGGTGCTTTTCACTCACCTCATAGTTCCAACCGACTGTCACAGGCGGCTCAGTAGATCGGGAGGTGAGCGAACACATACCGGCGTTCGCTCACCTCTCAATCTTGTCACGGCTCTCTGCCGTGACGGGGGAGGGGCTGGATTCCCAGCTCCGATCTGCCAGCGCTGACTGGCGGAACGGACGGTGAAGGGGGCGGGTACAGCTGGCTCTGCCTCTAGATAGGCAGAGCCAGGTGTCAGTCACGCAGCTGGGCGGATCCCGGCACAATTGTCGGGATCCGCTTCAGCTGCGGCGTCTCAGTGTACCGTGAGCTACAGCTCGCGGTATACTGAGACTAGGGTGACGGGAGGACGCTAGTTTGTGTCCTCCCGTTACCCTAAGGAGAACTATGGGGAAAAGCCTTAACCCCATAGTTCTCCTTTAATAACAGGGACCTTCAAGGCGGGATCACCAGGGATTATTTAAATGGGCGTTGGATATTTAATATGTCTTTCATAAGAACGTTGACATGTTAATGCTGATGTGAGATTTTAGTGACTGGCGCACCTCCAGAGTATAAGACTCCATATGCTTCCCATCTCGTCCTTGTACGTTATATATGCGGCAGGGGGCCTCCACACCTCTGCAGCTTGATAACAGGCAGATCCGCGCTCCTCAGCGCTGGCTGACCTGCCCATGTTTTCTGCCATGAAGTGTGATGGGCTTTGATGACTGAATGCACAATAAAGCAGAGGAAATACAGCACCATTCCCTTATTACCGCCATGTTCTAAAACGCATCAGAGTTTCATCATTATTAATTTTTTTAAACATAAAAATGCATTAACGCAGTTTGCATTGTACCAGAAATCGCTGGCTTGTGGAGTGCGCCCCGTGCGTTCCATGGGTAATGGCAATCAGCACAACGTGCTTCTAATGGTCTCTTATAATCAATGCTAAGAATATAACAATAGACACGTCGTAACACAAAAGCTGCCGGACGCCGGAGAGGAAATATAAAGGCAAATAAAATTTACATCTGGAAGGAGAATTACATCCACGCATACGCGCAACGCATGAGCGGGTTAACACCACGCTACAAAGTACATTCTACAGGAAGTAGATAAGTATCAGAGTAAAGTGACTGAGGTTCTAATGTTTAACTCCAGCAGGGGAACAGGAAGTGCAACCCACAGCAGTCCCCTGGTAGTCATTGGTGCATGAAGTAGCCAAGTGTCAGAGTAATCTGACTGAAGATCTAATTTTTTCACCGGCAGGAAAACAGGAAGTTCAACCCACAGGAGTCCCCCAGTAATCACTGGGGCAGGAAGTTTCCAAGTATCAGAGTAAACTGACTAAAGTTCTAATTTTCTAATTTGCCAGCAGGGAAACAGGAAGTGCAACCCACATCAGTCCCCTGGCAGTCGCTGGGATAGGAAGTAATTGAACATTAAAGTAAACTGAATGAGGTTCTAATTTTCCTGCTAGCAGGAAAACAGGAAGTTGAACCAACAGGAGTCACCTGGCAATCACTGGGGCAGGAAGCTGCCGAGTATCAGAGTAAACTGACTGAGGTTCTAATTTTCTATTCAAAACAAAAATAAAGATTATGATTGGCTGACACGAAGTCCCGCCTTCATCCCACCCTCATCATATAGCTCCCACTGAGCCATTTTAATGGGCCCCCTTTCCCTTCAGGCCCCTCCACAATAGCTCAGACTGCACGGCAGCACGTAGCCTCACATTCCAGTTGTTATAAAGCCGATCCCAATGCTTGAATGCTTTATGTCCCAGAAAGGGAGGGGGGCAGCATCTGAGAGTCACCATAGCCGACATTTGCTGATCTTTCTTAGCCAATGATCCGTTGCGTTGGTAGTGTATTCGAGCCTCACTAATTTCTCATCAGACACCAATAATACAGCGAGTGATCTGATAGACACGGGGCCTAAACAGCACTTCTGAGTACAATGGGATTAACATGGGAAGTCGTTAACAGAGTAATATTAGCAAGGGGACGGCCGGGGTGCGTACCCCAGATAGTAAAAATGTGTTGTGTGTAATCAGCTTATTACATCGCGTCATTAGCGGCGTTCTGTAAATAGTGGAGTCAGATTAGATGGCGGCTTTTATTGATAAGTGTTTACACGAGCCCAGGAATTTCATGGTAAGGGATTGTAATCCTTTAATAGTATTTTATGTATTACATAGTCTCCAAGGAAGGCGCGGGATATAGAGGAACACCATTGTCACGTCGTATTTGTTGTTTGTTTTTGTATGTGAGATGTTAAGCGCTGTATATTTGCTGTAAATAATATACATATAATATAATATACTATAATGTGAGTGTATGTATATGTATGTTGTAGGGAACCAGTCTCAATGTAGAGTCAAACTCGCAGTCTCCAACAAAAATGCCAGCTTTAATTCCAGGCAGCAATCAATTGACAAAAAAAAGGTTACAGGCATCCAGCCAAAAATGTAAAATGCCTTTTTCATGGCGCTCCCATTGAAGCCTAAGAGGCCAAAAACGTGCCATTCTGCCCAAAAAGAAGCTCCTGGACTTTTTTGAGCTATAAGCTTGTTAATCTCTTCCTGCTGGCATAACGCATATAGCACCAGGCTGCCACATATATGCATCCATGGGACTCCGCTGTTGTCTGCTGATAGCATGCACAGACCCCCCTTCTATCGCTGGAGTTGACTACTCTAGCAATGGAAGCTATAGGAAGTTCCTATAGGAGAGCAACAAAACAAAAAAATACCTGTTGATCCTGCCATTAGTGAGGCATTAGTTTGTGTATTTTATACCTGCCTGGAGTTCAGCTTTAAAGAGTCCCTGTCTACATTCCGGGAGGTGAAAAAAGTTCCCTGTTGTCTAATCTCAATCTTCTCTTTGCTGTTGATTGCAGGTCAGCGGGACGATGTACAACACAGGGAGACATGTGTCATTACGGCTGGACAAAGAACATCTAGTGAATATATCCGGTGGGCCGCTCACCTACAGTCATCGTTTAGAAGAAATACGGTTACATTTCGGCAGCGAGGACGGCCAAGGCTCAGAGCACCTGCTTAATGGGCAGGCCTTCTCTGGGGAGGTAAGGCTGCTGTTGTTTGCTTCTAACCAGGTTTCAAAAAATGCATGTCAGTTCGTTGCCGCCATTAGACTGCAAATATCTACTACCGCTTGACCATTGTTGCTAAAACAGCATACGCAGGGGAAAAAAGTATGCTAGTTAAAGGTAACCACCACTTGTAACCTACTTCTGGAAATGCTTGTTGACTGGCGGTCATGCTGATCCTCTGGTTTTGAAACAAGTCTCACATCTGTCATTGGAGCCCCCTGTGCTCTCGCAGGGCTCTGGCCAGTTCATGCCCGCTCATTCACCCACAATAAAAATGGCATTCATGCAGAGGAAGCCTGTAGAGTTGGGATCCTTACGTATCCATAGTGGAGCTACATGGAGAAGTTACACAGCCAGCGCATAGTGCTTGGGCATTTTCCCACGTGCACATCTGATCTGATGTCACGTGACCTGGCATCCCCAATACTGTATGTGAGTGTGCAGCCTCCAAAGGATTCTCTTCACAAAACTCGAATTGCATTAATGTAAGTTTTATTCCTGGGGGTACAATAAAGGGGGGGAGGAGCTACAAACTTTGCACCTGGGCCCCTAGATCTAAAAATACGTCACTAGTTTTTAAGTCATTGGCTTCCATTGTGGCTCTTGGCATTTGGTTGCATGACATCTCAGAGCTGCAAAGGAAGCTGGTACAAGGAGACAGGTCTGAGCAGTGTTTTAAGGTGTTTCCCAAATGGTGAATAGGAATGAGACTCCCGGGGGTGGACAAAGGTGATGGAGCCATTATGGTGTAGTACCTTCTATGTATGTATGTGCTGACGTATGAAATAAGAAGAAGACTTACATCTGATGAGGTTGGCCAAGGGTTTTAGTAGATGCAACCTTCCTTGGAAGCCTGTGCGGAAAGAGCTGTCTTTACGTAGCAGGAATGTGGTCACTCTTGATGCGTGGGGGGCCCAAAGCTCGGCCTGTGTTAGGGACATCAGGATGTTGTAGACAGAAGGTTTCTAGAATGGAGAACAGGGCCTATTGATCGCAAGGCAGAGGCGCCCTTTGTTAGGTGTGGTTTCTGTAAGACATGGGCTGAAATCCAATAAGTAGACCTTGTTCCTTAAATAAAACCAGTACTGATCAGATTTGCGTCCATTGGTCCACAGCCTACAGAAGACACATCATCATCACCACACCTAACAAAGGGTCCCTTTGCCTCGCACTCGATGGGTTTTTATCTCCCTTCTGGGAACATTAGGTCTGAGCAGGAAGCTGGGAGCTCTGCAAAGCCCAGCATGGGTAACTATGAGTCCTGATCTGGTCAACGTCCTTCCGAATGGTGAAGAAACTTCATACAGGGCCACCAACCCAACATATATTATTAGTACTAGCCCAGGTGGCTCAACAGCTCAGTTCTCCACTGAAGCTATGCCTAGTCATTTACAGCCTTATGTATGAAATACCCAGTCTTCTGGCCCTCATTACTCCTGTAGTAAAATACTTTATACATGTGCAGCTTCTGTGAAGCATCTCATTGTGGAACTAGACTCCTGAGCTGATATTTCACCTTCCCTTAAGGGGAAAAGCTTGCAGTGTGCAGTGAAATCAGAGTAAGCAATATTAGTCCAGGAGAGGAACCGGTACAACTGTGCAAGACTGAAGGGAAGGCTGGAGTTCAGCTTTAAATACACCTGAAGCAAATGTTTAACTTGTAAATGTGAAAAGGTTGAACTCGGTCTTCTGATACATAATATCGGTGCCAGTTCTGCACTGAATAGTAAATTATGTTGAGCAAGAGGTGGGAGCACTTAATATCTGTCACTGGTTAATGCACCCGAGTCGTCATTTTTCACAGCCGAGGCGACGTTTTAATTTTCGGATTGGCTCCTCTTCAAATGATTTCTTTAAATTGTCTGGATTTCTCTTCTTCTTTTTCCAGGTTCAGCTCATCCATTACAATCACGAGCTGTACACAAATGTAACAGAGGCAGCCAAGAGTCCGAACGGCCTGGTTGTTATAACCATATTTATAAAAGTGAGTACATTCTTCAGCCGCGAGCTTTCATCATTGCAGCGGAGACTTTCATCCGCCCGGTGCCCAGGGCACGGCATAATCAGGAGCGTAAAATGTTGGTGGATAATCCCTATGGGGCCAGCACAGGAAAATTTAGGTGTAAATGCCTTATGATATAGCTGTGTGAGATGACATTAAAAGGTAAAGCTAAATTCCAGGCAAACAGATAAATGTGCCACTGAAATGTAAAAATGAGATTTGTGTTATCTGTAAAAGGATTTATATTTCTGTCCAGCCAGTTCTGAGATATACAAAGTCCTAACAGACAGCAGAGCCAGGTTGGCGACCTGACATCTGTCTTCTGCAACTCGGTAACACAACTTGGTCAGTCCCGTGTGTATGATTGCAAAGTGGAGGCACAGAGCAGAGACGAGTCATCCCTCTGTTCACTATGCTCTCTGCTGCTGAATAACATTGATTATGGCACCTGGAAGAGGGTGGGATACATTTAATTTGGATACACATTTGGTCCTGAAGTTGATCTGTTGGAAGCAGAGAAAATGGGCAGGTGTACAGATTTGAGCGACTTTGACAAGAGCCAATTTGTGATGTCTAGACAAATGGGTCAGAGCAACTCCAAAACTGCAGCTCTAGTGGGATGTTCCCGGTCTGCAATGGTCAGAATCTACCTAAAGTGGTCCAAGGAAAGAAGACCAGTGAACAGGATCAAGGATGGCCAAAGCTCATAGATGCACATGGAGAGCCAAGGCTGGTTTGTGTAGTCCGATCCAAAGAAGACCTACTGCAGCTCAGATTTCTGAATTAGTTAATACTGGTTCCAATGTAAAGCTGAACACACGGAGCATCACAGTTTGTTGTGTATGGGGCTGCATAGCTACAGACTGGTCAGGGTGCCCATGCTGACCTGTGTCCACCAACAAAAGCGCCTACAATGGGCACGTCAGCATCAGAACTGGGCCATGGAGCAATGCAAGATGGCCTGATCTGATGAATCAGGTTTTCTTTCACATCATGTGGATTGCTGAGTGCGTGTGTCACTTACATGGGGAAGAGATGGCATCAGGATGCACTATGGGAAGAAGGCAAGCCGGCAGAGGCAATGTGCTGCTTTGGGCAGTGTTCTGCTGGGAAACCTTGGGTCCTGCCATTCATGTCGATGTTGCTTTGACACATGCCACCTACACTGTTGCTAACCAAGTACATCCCTTAATGGAAACGGTATTACCTGATGGCAGTGGCCTCTTTCAGCAGGATAATACACCCTGCCACACTGCAAGAATAGTTCAAGAATGGTTTGAGGAACACAACACGGATTTGGAGGTGTTGACTTGGCCTCCATATTCTCCCGATCTCAGTCCAATCAAGCATCTGTAGGATGTGCTGGAAAAACAAGTCCATTCCATGGAGGTGCCACTCGCATCTTACAGGACTTAAAGGATTTGCTACCAATGGGTTGATAACAGATACCACAGCATACCTGCAGAGCTCTATTGGAGTCCATGCCTTGACGGGTCAGGGCTGTTTAGGCAGCAAAAGTGGAACCTTCTCAATATTAGGCAGGTGGTCATAATGTTATTGCTGATTGGTATATATATTATACATTATAGTATTTACAGTATATAAGGGATGCAACGATACTGATACCTAGTATTTGGGCTAGTACTTGTACTCGCCCAAATACTCCCGATGCTTATTCCGATACCGGTATACTTCCGGTATCAGGAAGCCGGGCGGTGAGTCATTACACACTGCTGGTTCCCTGGTTGGCCGGGAAGCTGGCTCCATGCTCCTTCATCACTTGGTGACGAGAAAGCAAGGAGCCAGCTTCCCGGCCCATCAGGAAGCCGAGCGCCGTATAATGACTCACGCTCAGCTTCCTAATTGGTTGGGAAGCTAGCCAATAAGGAAGCTGGGTAGCAAGTAATTACACGCCCCCCAGCTTCCTGATTGGCCAGAAAGCCGACTTCATGCTCCCTCATCACCAGGTGACTCGCCGCCTGGCTTCCTGATTGGTCAAGAAACTGGCCAATCAGGATGCCAGACAGCGAGTCATTACCCGCCCCCCCTTCCTGACTGGCCAGAAAGCCGGCTTCATGCTTCCTCGTCACCTGGTGACAAGGAAGCATGGAGACGGCTTCCCAGCTAATCAGGAAGCCGGGCGATGAGTCATTACACACCGAACCGGTTTCCTTAATGGGACTTCTGGTATCGGTATTGGGAAAATAATATCAGTACCCAATACTGAAAGAACGGTATCTGTGCATCCCTAATATATATGTGTGTGTATTTCATCTGTGTATTTAGCTGTTTGTCTGGAGTCCAGCTTTAGGTCAAATAACACGGAACGGTAAGATTGTCTATATGGATGCAATTTATATTATAATTTCAGAATATCTTAAATAAATCTCTGTCAATTTCCCATCTACTATTATGAGAAGAATTGAATCTATAGTGCACCATATGCTGACTACCACAAAATTACAGCTTTGTTACAATGTCTCCATAACGCTTACTTAGACATGACCAGCCATCGTCATGTAAAAAAAAGGATAATTAACATTTTATGGCCCAGGATGTCCGTGGCCTTTTAGTGGTGTCCTGGTGGTGATTTTGTGTTTGCTGTCAAACTAGTAATAGCTAAAGTGATGGTTTTGCTGCTTTATGTGATTACTTGTGACTTTATTTTTTTCCCTCCATTTGCCTGAAGGTTACAGACTCATCCAATCCTTTCCTAAACCGAATGCTTAACAGAGATACTATAACAAGAATAACATATAAAAGTAAGTATCTGTATAGCTGTCAGTCATCGCTGACCTCCTTGTGAAAATGCTGCATGTTTGGCTCTGTCTGTGATAAAGTGTATGTCCACCCTAACAATGAATGTCTCTTATCTGCTCTGTTTTAATCTATTTGATTGGCTAATACATTGGCAGTCAGGAGTTTGTTTTTCCAGTTTCCGGACTGCCGACTCACCTGGCCATCCTGGGTGTCTGGGATCTCCATGGCGGCTGTCAGTATGGTGAGCAGAGGGAGACCATTGCTGATCTTCCCTGGGTAGTATGAACCTAAAAGCCCTCAGCTTTGAGCACTTGCAAGTTCAGGGCTGTCAACCCTGGACCACTCTGGCCAGGGAAGAAGCTGATTCAGCACAGTCTGTGGCAAGAAAATACACTGTCTACTGCCTGGTCGGCCCCCTAGAGACACACAGTTATTCCCAAAGAGTCACAGGTTGGGCACTATATCCAAAACTAGTTTGGCATTAGATACACTTGCACGGTTGTGCTGAGTTGTCGGTCAGGGGGCGGAGGGAGGTGCAGATTCGGGACCGCACTATCAGCAGGTCTGTCAAGTGTCCTTCCCAGCTCCCTTATGTCACCAGTTGCCAGGAGCTTGGCGGGACGCAGAGTGTCCTGCTCAGAGTGTCCTAAAAGCTCTTAGCAATCTGGGGTGCTGTGGCCGCCCCACCACCACCTGGCCAACCCCCCTCCACCCCCCCCCCCCACCCCCGCC